CAATGTGATTTTCAAGCCACTGGGTCCAGGACTCAAACCATGGTCGATCATGTGGAAATCCAACAACATGACTGGTACACTATCTGTTGGCCCCACTAGAGGTGTTATTAAGAAGTAGTTTTGGGTGCTATCTTCAAACAGAAGTTGGAAGTTTATCAGAATGGAGACAAGAGAAGGCTTTTCATTTGGAAGGGAGTTAAGACCAGGTGACCCCTGTTCCCAAGGTCTTTTCCATACTCCTTCTACTATTACTTTTTTTTTTTTTTTGGCTATAGAGCATGTGTATTCTCCAGAAAGTGATGGAGGGAGAGAAAGTGAGAAATGATCCCCTAGGGGGAATGGCCATGCCACAATACCTTCTCCATTCTCCTTTCAGGATTTTGGGCACACATACACATGCACCCAGCATGATTTTCAAGACACTGGGTCCAAGACTCGAACTGTGGAGTTGGCCTATTTTGGGTCGAGTGCCTTAACCTCCCCACTATCTTCTGGCTCTGCTATTTTTATTACTACTATTACTATAGGTAATACTTATCAAGTTCATATTTTATGTGCAATGCTAAGCACTTTTTACAAGGGAGAATAGACAGGAGGAGGGCTCATAGATTTTAAAGTGTTAAAGTACTCACAATATACAGACCAAGTTTTCCCATACATGCTTCTATCCACAGAAAAGGGTCTGGAGAGAGAGAGATTACAGGGTTTATGGGAGAGGAAGGGGAGAAAAAATGGAAATAAACTAATATTCTTCAAGTTCTAGGCAAAAAAAAAAAACAAAAACAAAAACAAAACAAAAACCCAAACAACAACAACAAAAAAAACGAATGTTTTACCTATAATGAGAAGACTAGGGAACCAGCAGTTAGCGTAATGGCTATGTCGCTGGACTCCCACGTAGTCGACCGCAGTTTGCACCCCAGACCTGGTGACTTAAGGCTCACGCCGGGCGCGTGTGCGTGCGTGCCCAAGATCCTGAGAGGAGAATGGAGGAGAAGGGATTGTGGCGTGACCATCCTCCCTGGGGGGTGATTTTTCACTTTCTGTCTCTCTGTCTGTCTCTGTCTGTCTGGCGAGTGCACGCGCCCTATAGCGAAAACCTCTCCAAAAAAAAAAAAAAAAGACTAAAACTTATGGCTAAATTATCATCAGGCACTCCAAGAAAATGAGCCTCAGTTCACTATAAGGATCACTAGTACACTTGCACATTACAAGGTAGTCATGTCAAAATGAATTGTACTGAAATCCTTATAAGAAATGTGTCTGATTTTATAAAAGGAATACTGCTTCTTTAACTTTATAAATACATGTTTCTAATGTTTCCAATATGGATTTATCACATCCTAGAGACTTTGGTTTATTTTTACTATAATTTTTTAAAAGAATTATTTTTTTAATTTTATTTATTATTATTATTTCCTTATTTGTTTTAGGAAACAATATAAGGCATCTATATTCACTGGGGGGTGGGGAACAAGTGAAAAAACAAGCCACCAGGTCTGGGACTAGAACTAGGGTCAGCCATGTGGGAGTCCAGCACCCCAGCACACCACCTGCTGGTCCCCTAATATAATTTACAAACATGTTAGAAACAAATGTTTCCAGTGATAAACATCCTAAATTTCCTTACTTTCTCTCTCCCACCAAAATGTTACACAAAATTCATTTTTATGGGGAGACAAGTGAATAGGGTTTGGGGGCCCAGTGATTCTCTGTAGAACACTGGAGTATTTCAGGTATAAGGACATAGGATTTTCAAGCTGAAAGAAACATAGGTGAGCAAGTTGATCGCTTCATTAAGCATTAGAGATAGAAATCCTTACACTGCAGAGCAGTCAAGTAATAAGCCCAAGGCAACACAATTAACTGACAGGAGAACTGAGGAACCAATGTAGTGCAGGTCTCCTGGGAGTCCTAACCCCCAGTTCATTCGCAGGTTTCTTCTACTCAATCAAGTGCCAAGAAGGAAATGGGATTTTCTGAGTTCTATTTACTAAGGTTGACCAGAAGTGGTATTTGAAAACACTATAATTTTCATTAGCTTTGAATATTTGTCATGTTATCCATATTGATTAAAAAGAACTTACTTCTAAAGCATAATATACTGGTTTGTCTCTGCCGAGTTTGTAAGCTACTGTGGTTAGAAGGCCGTGTTCAGAAAATACACACTGTAGGGGAAAATAAAAGAAAAGATTTTAGTAGTGGCAAAAATGGACAAACAGCGTGAGAAAACTGTTTAAAGCCAAAATGACACAGGTACAAAATTATTCAATTAATAAACCAATTTGAAAGAGAAATCTTGGCAGTCAAATGTAAAAGTATTAAGAAGAATGATTAAGATGTACAAAAGTTTCTTCCTCATTCCAAATGAGATTTGCATTAAGAATCTGACAAGGTCCCAGCCTACATTTCCCACCAACATGATTAAAAACACACATATAAAATTGAAAGAACCTTAAACAGCTCTTGCTAGAACATCCAAATTCAAATGTGATTTTCATCATTTTTATTAAGCTTTTTTTTTTTTTAGGGTTTTGCCATATGGTGTGTGTGCTTCCTGGAGAGAGATACAGAAAAGTGAGACAGAGAGAAGGGGATGGCCGTGCCACAATTCCTTCTCCTCTTGGGGTTTTCAGCATGAGTCCATATGTGCCTGGCGTGATTTTTCAAGCCTCTGAGTCTAGGACTCAAACCATTGTTGACTATGTGGGAGTCCAGAGCTTTAACCACCACTTTAACCACTTTCTTTTCGCTATTGACATCTAAATAAACCCTGATAAACATTAAGTTAAAGTTGAAGACTAATAAACCAGGTACAGAAAGAGAAATACTACACATTCCCCCTGTGTGGAAACCGAAAAATAAAAGGCTTCATAGAAGTAGAAAGAGGGGCTTGCAGGTGGTTTGGTGGTTGGGGGTGCTGGATTCCCACGTGGCCAACTACAGTTGGAGTCCCTGGCAGCTTGCTTTCTCCCTTTCCTTTCCTCTTTCTCTCTATCTCTCTCTGGTCAAATTACAAAAATAATAATAATAACTAATGGAATTAAATAAATAGATAATGCTTCATAAAAACTAGAAAGAGAAGAAAGATTGCTAGACACTGGGAAGGGTGTGCAGTGGAGGGGAATAGAAGACTGCTGATGAATAGGGATAAAACTGCAGATAGACAGGAGGAACAATGTCTAGTATTATAAAATACAGTGGAGAAAATACGGAGGGCAACTGATTGCTGTGTATTTCAAAGCAACTGAAAGGGAGGATTTTGAATGTTTGCAACAGAAGTAAGGACAAATAGGGGCCAGCAGGTGGCGTGGTGGTTAAGGACGCTCTCACATGGCCAACCATGTTTTGAGTGGCAGCTTGCTTGCTTATTTTCTCTCTCTGTCCCTCTCTGGTCAAATTAAATAAATAAATAAATAAAGTCAAATAAAATAATTCTTTTCTTAAAAAAGGACAAATAGTTGAGACAATCAGTATGTTAATGATCCTGAGAAAATCATTACACTATACTCTTATACTAAAAAAAAAATCACATTGGACCCCAGAGTATATACATACTAAAAAAAAAATCACATTGGACCCTAGAGTATATACAATTATTATATGTTAATGAAAATATTTTTTAAAAAGTAAAAGCTATTGACTCAAAAGCAACTAAGCAAATTATGCTCAAACATTATTTATATGAACTTTAAAAAGATATTCATCAATATTTCAATTAATAAAGAAAAATAAACTAACCTTATGGCCTGTATTACATAGTAAGAAACATCCTGTTCCATACCTGAAGTCGGGGGAAGAATGAAAAGTATGACAATTTTATTGATAGCAAGGGATGAGACATTAGCAATACAAGTGATCTAAAATTATAAACGATTTAGCATAACAAAAGTCATTATATTAAAGTTTCTGAAAAGTACTAAAAGCTAACAAACACCACATATTCTTTAAAAGATTTCAAAGATCAATTATAGAAAATGTACCTAGTAATCTTTTTTTTTTTTAACTTTTGCCATAGGGTGCATGCACTTACTGGAGAGAGACAGAGAGAAAGTGAGAAATCACCCCCCAGGGGAAAGGCTATGCCACAATCTTTTTCATTCTCCTCTCAGGATTTTGAGTATGCATGCACAGATGCCAGTGTGTTTTTCAAGTGTCTTGGTCTGGAACTCAAACCACACAGTTGGCCTTGTGGGATCCAGCACCTTAACCACCATGCCATCTGCTGGCCCACTAGTGCAATCTTTTTTTTTTTTTTGTGAGAGGTTTTTTCTCTATAGGGCGCATACAACTCGCTGGATAGACAGAGAGACAGAAAGCGAGAAATCACCCCCCAGGGAGGATGGTCATGCCGCAATCCCTTCTCCTCCATTCTCCTCTCGGGATCTTGGGCACACACGCACACGCGCCCAGTGTGAGTTCTAAGCCACCAGGGCCGGGACGCGAACTACGGTAGACTACGTGGGAGTCCAGCGACATAGCCATTACGCTAACTGCTGGTTCCCACTAATGCAATCTTAATGGGAAAACTTCAAGTATAATATTTAGCATTTAGTCTGTTATAGTCCAGGGACATGTTTATAAGGAATCATTGAATTACAATAAATTCTATGTTCAGATTCTGTGGCATTACTACTAATCTACAGAGAGACACAGCATGACTGACAGGCATTCACTAATGGAGTTGGCCAGTTAGCTCTATCATTAATAAGGTCTTTTTTTCTCAGATTGCCAGAGTGTACCTGCTCCAAAGTAAGAGAGCAAGAGAGG